TTTGTTATATATATTTTTGTTATATATATATTTGTTACATATATATATTTGTAATTAAGTAATCGAGGAACAAACTTTGTTTTATTCGTTGAGAATAAAATTTCTCATCTCGGAGCAGACTCGGATTAAAGCTGAACGAACGAAAGACAAACGGGGCTAAAGAGAGACGGCAGGGGTGGGGGGAGAGAATAAGAGGAAGACAAGAATTCAGACGGAAATGCCGTCCGAACCCATTAGCATATCATGTCGGAAAGGTAAAGCGCGAGACAAACTATTCGGTCGAAGTATTAGCATTCCGGTTCGATTTATCGTCGAAACTTTAGTCACAGGAAATCCCGTCGCTCTCTTTAAAGTGGTACATATCTCGCGCGTGTGCCGCGCCGAGACTATTCGAGCTTATAACTCGTTAAACTTTCACTGTATGTAAACTCTACTCTTCCTTCCCTCCCCCGCCATTCCGAGCCGCAACCGAGCGGAACTTTCGCCTCGAAATGGGAATAAGAATCATCAAGATTCAAGAATCGACGGGGGATATGATATTCGCGAATTTGTGCGAACTCTCTATTTGGCCGCACACATGTGTGTACCACACTCTGTAATGTAACTTTTCCCGCTTCCCGCGAGAATATCTTCGGAGCAATTCGCGTATTTGCGACACGCGCGAATCGAGTTAAAATAACTCAATTTTAGAACTATTCAGAATGTAACACAAACTATTCCGAGACATTTACACAGATTTGCATCTTTCTGCAAAATTAAGAGGAATTAAACGCGTTGCTTTTTTTGCAATGCGAATCTTTAGAATCGCAGAAATGAATCTTCAAACAAATTTTATTTGAAAATATAAACATGATATTTCACACACACACACAGAAACCCTATTTGTTTTTGAGGTACTATTTTTACGAAATAACACACTTTTGCGAGACATCAACTACACAGTTTCGCGTCGATGTGTTTTTCATCTTGCCAAAAACTCGTCGCAGAGCCATTCCATCTATCGATGATCTATACTTCTCTCAACGCTAGATATATGTGTATGCGAATTTACGAGTTTCCGTATAGAGATTATCTATCGCGCACAGCAGTTGTTTCCGTCAGAAAATTCGAAGATGTGTGATTTTGAATTCCGGTCAAGGATAATAATAATAATCCATCGAAGAGAGGAAGCTAACGACATTTTTCGCAACGTGATTTATAAAATTGCGATATCGGCAATAAGTTTATTACTAGAGAAAGAGAGAGAGAGAGAGAGAGAAAAAAAAAGAAAGAAAATTACGATTTCACCAAACATGAATAAAACATAATTTGATAATTAATATTTTTTTCACTCCAACAACAGTGTTACTCTGCTTCAATAGCCAAAATTCATTATTATTTAATTAATATTTTATTATATTTTATATATAAATTTTTTATTATAATTAAAAGATAATGTTTTAATATTTTTTTCCTTCAAATTAATTCGACGAGAGAGTGTGAAAATGCATCAACACGTTGAAGAAGAAAGAACGCGAGACAGATTTAAGATTTGCGGTTCCGTGCGAGCAATTATTAAAGCACGCGAGTTCTCAGTACGGTATTTATAATAGCGAATAATCGTATTACAGAAAATAGGAAGGGAGAAACATAGGGTGGTAGCGTAAAATTTACATATCTCTCTACGTGCCATTCGCAGAGTGCGCGCATTTACAACAATGCAGACATTGTTTCCGTCGTAATTATGCAAGAGAAGGTGTTACACTATTTCGGAACACTTCGCATGATATGCAAATGTGTGTATTTGTGTGTCTGTGTGTGTGTGTGTCTGGGTCTGTGCGCTCATTAAAGAATTTCACACTTGGCGATATTCGCACTAGCCTAATCTTTCACAGCGAGAAAGCAAATTTTTGTTTTAATTCTCTCTTTTTAGTTCTCTAAATATATAAATATGCAACTGCAATATATTAAAACGGCGAATGCAATAATAAAATATCGCACCGTTTAACAAAAGTCGCTCATTTGAACACTCGGATGATAACGTATTGTTTAACGAGAAGGCGAGAATTTTAATGAAAAAAACGACGCTTTTCAAAAACTCGCGCTTAAAATGATTTTTCGAGGTGCAAATTGTTTAATTATAATAGAATTATATCGGATGTGTATTATTTTAGTTTTACGCTTATT